GCTCTGGCTGCCGGCAGGACGTGGGCAGGGTTCAGCACACGGGTCACCCGAGGGAAGAGATTGGCCAAGCGTCCCCTCGCGTGGTGCTCCTGATAAACCAGGCGCTGTTGTGCCAGTTTCCTCCCCTGCCGTCAGTGAGGGGGCGAAGCGGATGGTGCTCCCGATGCCAGCAGCTGTGCCCTGATCTGGGGCAAGGGAGCCTTGGAGGAACCCGCTGCGGTTGCTTCATCGGGGCCACATGGCTGCAGTAGGGCACAGCTCAGGCTCTGCGGATGGGACAGCTCCCCCTTCGGAAAGGGCAGCCTGGTCCGAGGCACCCGCTCCCAGTTTGTCTCTTGCTCCAGGCTGTGGGGGGTTCCGGGTGCGGAGCCTCTAAAGGAGCTGTGGAAGTGCAGCACTCCCAAGCACTGCTCGCTCTCAGCTCCGGAGAGCAGCAGAAGCAGGTGACTTCAGATGGGAGCAAGGAAGCTTGACTGTCAAGCAGAGGACGTCCTGCCATGTACTGGGGACATCAATCACTGCTGGACATATCTGGGACCCGTTCCCACTCCATTGCTGCTGTGCTGCCTGTCTCGGGAGGGAGAACAAGTTGTTTCCCTGCTTTGTGCCTTGCTTTCACCTTTCTCCTTTGGGAACGGCTTTGAGATCTGCTGATAAAGTGCTTGATAAGGACCAGAGAGGTGAAAACTGCAAACCTCAAGGTCTAGTCCAAGGGTGGCTGTGAGCAGCATGCTCTACTCCTCTGCTAGAGGTGGCATCCAGGCTGCTTGTGGTCACAGCAAGGTTGTTTTCCTTTGACTTTCACAAGGAGTGTTGACATAGTGTGGTCTCCCCTTTCCTTTCTAAATATAGAGGAAGAATGGCAGCTCGGGTTTCCCAGGTGCGGTTGGGTTACGGTGGCGCACGGAGCTCGCCGGTTGACCTTAACCCTGCTGTCGGTCCCGTTAGTGTTTCTTACGGACAGGCTCCTTCCAGCATCCCACCCAGCACCTAGTGGAGGGGCTCCGGACATATCCTGGATAAACCATGGCCTCTGGCAGAGAAGGGAGACGCTTCCCATCCCATGCTGGACAGCAGCAGTGAAAGCCCACTCTCTCCATGTCAGCTTGGCCTAGTGTGACCCAAGCCCCAGCTCACCTCACGCAGGAGTGTTTTGGTCTCTGTCACTTCCCCTTTGCTGCAGCTGCTGCTTTCCCAACCGTGGGAGTGTCCCCAGGACAAGACTGTGCTCTAAGCTGGGCTAAGCTGAGGCTGTTACAGCCTCAGCTTGAGGGTGGCCGAGTGTCCTGGCCTGTGGGCGCACGGCCTTGTGGCCAAACGCTCGCCTGCTGCTCTCCAGCGTGCCCAGCCACCCCTGGCTGCCCGCCTGTGTTTTCTAACCATCCCTTCTATTACCCAACCTGTTGTGCGTTGGATCACAGGAGGTTTCATAGATTCAGTTTGCTACCAGGGATGTTTCTGAGCAGCAGCAGAGCAGCCAGCACTGATCTGCCATGAGCTGGTCGTACTGGGCCTGTGACACTGAGGTTCCAGAGAGGATGGGGTTGGAGCAGATGGACAAACCTCGTGTCTCTGGGGCCTTCCAGGAGTGCTGGCTCTGTGTGGTGGGAGGGTGCCGGGCGCTCTGCAGAAGACCCAAGGGCTGCTGGGCTTGTGCAAAGGCTGACGGCTGGCACGTGTGCCGGTCTGTCGTTCCCAGGATAACCACAAGCTGTACAAGCAGAAACTCGAGGAGTTGACCAAGCTCCAGGATGGCATCTCCAGCTCCATCGCACGGCAGAAGAAGAGGCTGAAGGAGCTGTCTATCTCCCTAAAAAAGTAAGTTGGTGCCCTGTGACAGCCCCTAGAACTAGGGTGCCTCAGGAGAAGGGAGCAGCAAGGACAGAGCTCCAATATACATGTTAATGTAGCCTTGCTGGTAGCAGGGTCCTCTTGGGGTCTGGACCTAAGCCAGGGTTTCCTGAAGCTTTCCTTTCCTTTGCTCTGACTCGCTGTTCAAAGCTTGCAAGGCCTTTATGGTTCTTGAATCAAATCCCCTCCTGCCCAAAGCTCTCTCTGTTGCTTTTGAAGGCTGAGAAGACCTGTCTGTCTCCCCTCACTTTGATTCCTGCTTCCTCTTCTGGAAGCAACGTCCCAGAGTGACAAGACATCTGCTAGTCCTGCAGATGGAGTTGCAGACTTGTCCCCAGCTCGTCTTTCTTGACCTTGGGGTGCCTTGTCTGAGACGTGGTCACATACCAAGCACCAGCATGTGTTGCTTTCATCACAGTGGCTGTCCTGATACCAGTGCCTGTGTTTCTTCCCCAGATGCAAGGCCCATGCGAGTCCTGAACAGGAGGAATCCATCCAAGAGACTCAGAGCCTCATAAAAGAGAGGCAGAATGTCTTCTTCGAGATGGAGGCCTACCTGCCAAAGAAGAATGGGTAAGAGGTGCCTCATGTCTGGATCTCTTTCCTGCCTCTGTCTTCCTGGGGGGAGTCAGGACTGCCAGGGTCTTGTGATGCCCCCATGGCTGCCCCCTGTCAGAGCAGCTCCGGGGAAAAAGGAGAGCTGGGAGTGAGCTGCAGGCCTTGGAGGGCCAGATCCTTCCCCTCACCACTGGAGAAAGCTTTAGTTTCCCTCTCAGGAGAGTGAAAGCTTTGGGGACATGTAGGACAAAGTCCCTGGGTGAAGGTAGCTGCTGAAACACCACTTCCTCGCTCCACGTGCCTGCAGCTCTAACGCGGCAGGGCACAAACCTGCCTGTGCTGCTGCTGTCCCCGGTGTCACAGCTGTGCTGTGTTCAGCACAGGCTCCCCTGGAGGGCACCTGGACAGAGCCAGGCTGATCCTTCACAGTGCCGTCCTCGTCTCCTCCTCTTTGGGGCCTGCCTGCAGTCATGCCTGGCACTCACAGCCTTCACCTGCATTTGGGCTGCAGCTGAACCCCGGTGAACACCCCCTTTGCCTGCAGGAGACAGGGACTGTGCCCTTCCTGCGTGTCCTTGGGACAAAATGCCAGGGTGTTTGTGCCAGTCACGCTGCCTGGCAGCTCCAAGTGGAAAACAGCTGGGTGCTCATTTCCCTGGTGTCACTGCAGAGCATCAGCAGTGCTGGGCTGGCTGTCACCAGCACAGTCTGCAGGGAAATATGTGACAGCTCTGTCTTGCGTTCGCAGCAGGACTGCCGGGCGCGCGGCCGGCTCCTGGGAGATGCCTGTTCCTAATGCCTGTGCCCTCTCTGCAGGTTGTACTTGAGTCTGGTGCTTGGGAACGTGAACGTCACACTACTCAGCAAGCAGGCTAAGTACGGTGCTTTCGTCACTGCTGCCACGTGCTTTGAGATGGTTTGGGATCTCGTTGTCACCAGGAAACAGTAACTCTTCCCAAGCTGAACTGCAGGCACAGACGTGTAGCTGCTTGATGTACCTTGCATCTTTGCTGCTTGATGTACCTTGCATAGGTCCCTTTTCAGGGCTGTCCCATTCCTCATTTTCCAGAATCAGCCCAGTTTTCACTTCCCTCTTGGAGTACTGCAACCCAGCTAGGATCAAATGAGCCAAATAGGACCAAAGTCACAGCCTCCCCATGAAGATGCCCTCCTTGTCCCTTTGGCCAGCCACTAAGTTGGCCTGAGTGTGGGGTTACTTCAGTGTCTCTCACTGCAGGAAAGCCAGAGTAGTTTGTTCTCCTCTCAGAAGTGTGTCCCGGTGATGAGGGTTTTCCTGAGCATGTTCCAGGGCAGACCTTTGTCCAAGCTGGTGGGACAGGAGGATGGAGGCCTTCGGCCTTGCTCCCAGCCTGTCCTTGTGCTTCCCTGCAGGTTTGCATATAAAGATGAGTACGAGAAGTTCAAGCTCTACCTCACAATTATCCTGCTCATCTTGTCCTTCTCCTGCCGGTTCCTCCTCAATTCCAGGTGAGTCTAGCTTGAATGCTGTCCCCGAGTGCAGAGATCTCCTCTCAGGGCCTCCATTTTCTCCCGTCTGCTTTGGAATGGCCCAGAGCACCACTAGAGCTTGAAAGCCAGAGCTGAACTGAAGATGCTGGCAAAGCAACTGGACAATGAGGTCTCACCAGTTCAGCCACTGCCCTTGGAGGGGCAGCAGCCTCCATGGCTACTGCAGCCTGACTGGGGGGGTAGTAGATGGTGTGAGAAACAGTTCTCTGGGCAAAGACCTGTTCGGGACACCCCACTGGGTGATTAAGTGTCCTTTAGTAGTTGCTGACTTGGTGCCTGTGCCCAGCCGTCTGTGGGTCGTGACTCCAGTGCCTCCTTTTCACCCTGCCTTTGCTCCGTGCCAGGGTGACAGATGCTGTCTTCAACTTCCTCCTGGTGTGGTACTACTGCACTCTCACCATCCGGGAGAGCATCTTGATCAACAACGGATCCAAGTGAGTCCTTCAGGCGCTCCGGGAGGGTGCAGGCAGTGAGTTAGTCCTTCTCTACGAGGCTGGGGAGTTCAGACCCACAGTGTAGGCTTGCCAAGGGAGCGGCTGCAAGAGCCTCCTACTCAGGGTGTGTAGCAAACTCCGGTTGTCGTTGTACACGCTGGCCTGGCCCTTACGGAGCCACTGCCGGGGTGGGAGGGCTGGATGAACTCCCCACCCAGGAGGAGAAGCAGAGGAGAAACTGCCCCGGCTCCTAGGAGCCTCCTGGATTGAAGGCTGAGGAGCTGGAGAGCAGCAGCCAGCTTGGCCAGCTCTCCTGCTTGACGTGTGTTCGTAACCCCATGCCTGTGTCTGTCTTCCAGAATCAAAGGCTGGTGGGTTTTCCATCACTACGTCTCCACTTTCCTCTCAGGTGTCATGCTGACTTGGTAAGTCTGTACATCCTCATGTCCTGCCTGGATGTCACAGGCTGCTTTTCTTACCTCCTTTGTAGATAGCTCTTGCTTAGGGACTGCAGCCTACAAAGGCCAGCTCAGATTAAGCAGCCTTTGTATAGGTACCCTAATCTGTAGCTGTATTGGTGCCTTTTGGACCTGGTCATCTTTAGTCTAAGGTCTTTGGACCTTGGTCCTTTTGGACCTGGACCATCTGCTTTGTACATTTCTCACTAACAAACAACCTTAAACGAAACAGCTATCAGCACCCTTGCAAGGGAGGCAGCACCCAACTGGTCAGGAAACACAGTCCCTTGTGCTGCAGTTCTTGTCCAAGGACTACTGCAGTTGTTGTCCAAGGACTGCTGCTGCGTTTTCCTGACTGCTGTGCTGGCAGCCCTTGATCTTCACCTCCCCAAACCATGCCTGAGACTGGGCACCATCCCTCTGACTTGCTGTGAACACCTTTTGACGAGGTCCTCCATAACCACAGTGGACCAGATGGCTTGCAGCGTGGTGCCTGAATTCAGGGTGTCCCGTTTCAGTGGGAGCTGGGTTGAGCCAGCAGCGCCGCTACCCCAGCAGTGGGGCAGACAAGGCTGGCGGAGCCTCTTGACTCGGCCTTGCATCCCTCAACCACTGTCATCTCTCCTCAGGCCAGATGGGGTCATGTACCAGATGTTCAGGAACCAGTTCCTCTCCTTCTCCATGTATCAGAGTAAGTGCTGACCTCTCTGCAACCTGCAGTGCCAACCTTGCTTGCCTGGCTCCAGAGTCCATGTGGAAAACTGGCTTTAGTTGCCCACAGCTCCCTGGTTGCCTGGGTTTTCCCTTGGCCCTTTTCCTGCTCTCTACTTCCATGGTGGTAGGAGCATCCTTCTATCCAGAGTCACCCCAGAGGTGGGCTGGGGTTGGGGCTGAGCTGTGGGCCTGGGTCTTGGCACATCCTGAGTTCAGCTGCTCTCCCTGCAGATTTTGTGCAGTTCCTGCAGTACTACTATCAGAGCGGGTGCTTGTATCGGCTCCGAGCGCTGGGCGAGCGGCACAACATGGACCTCACTGTGGGTAAGCCGGGCTTTGCCTCTGCTCCTGTGACCACAGTTCCCTCCCAGCACCAGACACGGTGCTAAGTTAAAATAGGAGCTCTGGCACCTGTTAAAGGCAAGGGTAGCTACCTCAGGACACAAAGTACCAACAACAAGAGAATACAGCTCCTAGTATCTGAGCTTCCCCCAGGAAGCTGCTTTGCAGATAGGAATCTTCCCTCTGATGCCCTAGATGCTTTTTGTGGGCTGTCCCCAGCAGCATCAAGTGCTGGGGCTGAGCCTGCAGGGCCACCAGCCCCTGCAGCCCCTTGGGCACATAGTGAATGGTGCCAGGTGAGGGTGTCTTTACTAGAGCCTCTTCCTCAGGAGGAGTCCAGGCTAGACCAAAGAGCCAGGAACATGGCCAGAGGCCACCCCAAGCTCCCTGCAGCACAAGTGCCCATGGAGAGGCCGTGTGTTAGCCTCATCCAGGCACTGCACGGCCACCGACCTCCCTGTTCTTCCCTTAGGAGCTAGGCTCCGGCTGGTCCCCAGCCTATAGTGTAGTTTTAGGTCTCCCTTCAAACCTTCCTTCTTTGCAGAGGGCTTCCAGTCCTGGATGTGGAGGGGCCTCACGTTCCTGCTTCCTTTCCTGTTCTTTGGGCAGGTAAGTGTGAACTGCTCCTTGCAGGTCCCCTAAGGAAGGCTAGAGCTCCAGTTGGGATCTGAACCGTGCAGTGGTCCCTGTTGCACGTGGCTACCTGAACATCAAACAGATGCTGGAGGCAAGGAAAATGCTTTGGAAAGAGCAGTCCTCAAATGAGCTTTCTCCTCTAGGGCACCCACCTGCACAAAACTTGTCTTGGTGAGAAGGGGGAGGCCCTGGTGCCTCAGCACCTCAGCTCTGCTGGCGTAGCTTAAGTGATGTGTGAAACACAACAAAGGGGCTGACTGCAAGGTCATTTCCAAACCCCTCTGAAGTCTTGAGCTGCTGCTAAAGGTCCAACCTCGTAGTGAGATCATTTAGACTAATGGACAAAGGCAGTAGGTTGGTCTGCAGCTTTTTCCAGAGTGCTGGGCTAGAATGACCCCCTTGGAAAGCCCTAGATGGGGTTTTACTGTGTGCTGGCTTCCTGGGAGAGCTGTGGGGGCTTTGTGCCTGGTGAAGGCAGCTGGCTGAAGCTTGGCTCAGCTGAGGCACAGCAACTTGGAGCCGCTGAGGATGGAAACTCTTCTGTTCCATGCAGTTTTGGCAGCTCTACAACGCCGTCACCCTCTTCCGCCTGATGCAGCACCCGGAGTGCAAGGAGTGGCAGGTACGGCAGGACTCGCAGCTTGGGGCCTCCTGGGCAGGGGAAGGGCTGCAGGTGCCTCCTGCTGACCTGCAGCCTTGTGCTCCTGCAGGTGTTCATGTGCGGCCTCCCTTTCCTCATCCTCTTCCTGGGGAACTTCTTCACCACCGTCCGCGTTGTCCACCAGAAGTTTCAGAACCAGAACAAAGACACGAAGCAGAAGTGAAGGGGGCAGCGTGGGGGCCAAGAGGGTTTCTCCCCCATCTCCATCTCCCACTCCTCTTCTTGCCTCGATGCCGTCCAGACTCTGGCAGGTCTCGCCCCATTCCTTCGAAGCGGGTTTTCCTGGACATGGGACAGAGCTCAGGGCCTGCTGGTGGACAGCCAGCGTGTTCCTGGCAGGTCTGGAGCCATGTGCCTGAGACGCTTGCCTGGAGGCAGGAACGTGTGGCACCTCCTGTCCCATCTGCCTCCCTCCTTCAGGATAAATGGGGTGCCTGGGACAGCTGCTTCCCTTCTCTTTGTCCTGAAGACATTTTGGGGGTTGGTTCCCTCTGTCTCCTCCTCGTCCTTCCTCAGCCCTGCAGCGCGTGGGTGATGGCGGAGGTGGACGAGGCCTGTTCTCGTCTCAGCAGCTGTGGAAGCTCCCTGGCTTCCCAGGGCAGCTGGAGGCCGTGGCTTCCACGCTGGCCTCCAGGCCGGCACTCGGAGCGCGGTACCACAGCTCCTCCCGCGCAGAGGGGCCGGGGTCAAGCGCTCCAGGGCCAGGCCGGGGCCAGGCTGCTCCACCTGCAGCCCTGGGCTGGGTGGGAGCAGCAGGAGTCCAACCCAGCCTGCGCTCTGGTCTTGCATCGTGAGAGGATGCACGTGGGAAAAATAAAGGGAAGGCGCTTCCGTGCTGTGTTGGGTCTGCACAGCCCTGCTCTGCAGCCCCCTCGCAGTGTGCCCAGCCCCTGTCCCCAAAGCGAAGGAGGGGAGAGGAGCAGCGCGGGGGCAAGGAAGGTGCTCCCTAGCCGGGTGCAGGCAGAGGGTTCAAGGAGGCCGCAGCAGGACCTGCCCAGCTCTCAGGGGGACCCCAGCCCTGCAGCATGGGCCGTGGCCACAGCTTTAGGTGCAGAAGCAGCTGCAGAGCAGGATTTCACTCCCTCCGGATCCCAGAGGGAGGAGAAGCCCTCAGCTTAAGGGAAACTGAGAGCTTGGGAACAAAACATTTCACTCAAGAGCTGTCCAGCCTGCCCCAAGGTTCTGCCTACGCTGCTCAACCTGCCCTCACGTGTGCCCAGAACAGGGCTGTCCCCAAAGCCCTGGCCGTGCTCAGCACCCCAGGGGCAGAGATGTCCCCAGCCCCGGCTCAGTCCGCACCTGCAGCCTGGTTTCTCGCCCCGGACAGGGCAGGCTGGGGAGGTTTCCACGTGCAAGGGGGGCTGCTGGCCGGCAGCGCTTGCTTCACCCTCTCCCCCTCCAGCCATGCAGCAGCAGGACAGGAAGGCAGGAAGCAACCTACAGAAACAGTGTTTTTATTCCAAGGGCAAAGTATATTTAAATAATTTACAGTCATTGGATAGCCTGAAAGTTTTTTTTCCATGATTAAGTCACAAAGATGTTAAAATAAAAACAGTATTTTAAAAATGACCGTACACAGCACGATGGAGGGGCTGGGCACAGGGGAGCTGCCAGCTGCAGGGCCTGGGGGGGAGCAAGCAGGGGCCTGCAGACAGTGAGCACCTAGAGCAGGTTGCTGCTGGCAGGGCAGGGACAGGAGCCGTCTCCCCTCCGCGCTGGGGCGAGGGGAGGCAGCAGGGGAAGGGGCGCCTGGCGGGTCCTGGCTCAAGGACTAGGAACTTGCTCCCTTTTCCTGGGAGCAGCAGTTGCTGGCAGCAGCAGAGGTGGAGCTGTTGGGGCAGTTCTGCGCACGCTGGCAGAGCCCCCAGCACAGCAGGAGCAGGACTCTCCTCCAGCAGGAGCAGAGGTCACAGCTCCCTCCACGCAGAGCCCTTGGTCACCAGGAACAGGGAGCTGCTGGGCAGCCCCAGAGAGGGCTCAGAGCTGCGGCTGAGGAGCCCTCGCTGCGCTGGGCACTGAGCTCGTGGGCAGGGGCTGCCTGGCTCCTACACCCCTCCTGGCTCCTGCAGGGAGCTGCCAGGGTGAAGCAAGGCCATGTGCTTAAGGAAAGATCCCAGGGCTCCTCCAGCGCTTCCCTGCCCAGCAGCAGCGTGTCACTGACCCCAAAGAAAAGGCTGGGACCATGAGATGCTCCCTTGGGTGCCGAGCGCTACCCAGACAGCAGCCTTAGCCCCCTCATGGCCCTCTCAAGCCCTTCTGCCTCCCAGGGATATGCACACACGGGGGACAGATGCCATCTGCTCCATCCCCAGCCTGCTCTGGGGGACTGCTGTAGCCGTCGAGCCCAGGGCAGAGGGGTTGAGGGTGACACTGGGGTGGCTGTGGGGATGATGTGGTCACCCACAGGTGGGGTGGCCAGGCAGGCACCTTTCCGTTCCCGTGGGCCCGCACCTAAGGACCTGTCCTCTCCCTGGCCCTGCCAGCCCTGCTCTTAGCTCCAGACGTCCAGAGAGTAGCGGCCCTTGGTCATCAGTTTCTTTACATAGTCCACGGCCTGGGGTTGACTCATGTTCCCGAACTCGGCCACGATCTCGTAGAAGGTGTTCTGCACATCCCGGGCCATGTTGCGAGCGTCACTGGAAACAGAGAGGACTGTGAGCAAAGACAGAGCGGGCCGAGGCTCCTGCCCTGGCCTCCCGGCAGCAGCCCCAATCCCTGTCCTGGAGTTACTGCTGCCTCACCCTGGAGCTGCAAATGGATCCCGAAGGACTTGAGCCCGCTCCTCATCCAGCAGGGAGGCGGCCACGGAGCTCAGGCCGCACCAGGTGGCCCAAGCAGATCTTTGACCTGTCCTTACAGGCACCAAGTTGGGCTGGAGAGGCCCAGGGAGATCTGGGCATCCAGACCTACGTACCGGGCTGGCCCGGGACTCTGCAGGCTCCACTACAGGGAGAGCAGCTTGGGGCGCTTCCGGGGCTCCCTTTCAGCAGCCGCCGCCTCCTAGGCGGTTCCCACCCTCCCCAGTGTTTCCCAACCAGCCCTAATTACACCCAAATCCACTTTATATTGGAGTCTGCCCTCCTACTCCTTTCCTTCCACCCCAGCACAGCAGGGCTGGGTTGCCTGTGCCAAGGCAGAGGCGGTATCGGATGCCAGGGGCCACGCAAGGACTGCCACAAAGGAGCCAGCACAGATGAAACGGGGCTGCTCCCCCTCACTCAGCAGCAAGGGAGGGGACGAGCCTGGCGGTGGTTACCACAGAGCAGCCAGGCTGTGGCAACGCAGTGACAAAGCTCTGGCTGTCCCCGAACATCCACACGCAGTCGGTTCATTGGCCCAGCCCCATCCCTGCGGCTCCACCTCCTGCCCACGGAGCGTGCAACTCGCACACGCTGCGAAGCAAGAGGGCAAACCAAGTCTCACACATGTTCTTTAGAGAACAGGAGCAGCTTACAAGTCCCTTTCCTGTTGCTGGACTTACCCACAGACGTAGATATGAGCATTGCCCTCATTAAGCAGCTTCCAGACGTTTTCCTTGTTCTTCTTCAGTAAGTGCTGGACGTAAACCTGGCAGGGAACAAGGTGGGTGAAGTGAGAGGGACAAAGGTTCCAGCACCACCAAGCCCAGCCTTGGGCAAGGGAAGGGAAGCCAAAGCCAGGCTCAAAACTCGCCTTCCCCACATGGCTCCACCAGAAAGTGGAGGAACTGGGTGCTCCTGGGATACCTTCCCTAACAAGAAAAGCCCCAGGCTGGGAAGCCCCAGCTCTCCAAGCCTTTTATTCACCCCAGGAGTGATGCTCAGCAGCATAAGCGACAGAATGGGGGACCTGGGTGGTACCTTCTCAGCCTGGTCCCTGGAGAAGGCGACATTGAGCTGGGTGAGGAGGCCGTCCTGATGGAAGCGCGTGAGCTCCTCGCGGTACAGGTAGTCCTCGTTCTCATGGCGGCAGCCGTAGTAAAGCACCGTCTCACCGACATCTTTGCCTGCAGTAACACAACACCCGTGAGCCTCCCCGCTGCAGCCCCCGTCCTGCCTGCACCGCTGGGCCCGCGGGCTGTTTCTGTGCACTCACCTTGCTGCTTCAGCCAGGCCCGCTCTTGTATGAAGCCCATGAAGGGGGCTATGCCGGTCCCCGGCCCGATCATGATGATGGGCGTGCTGGGTTTGAAGGGCAGGCGAAACTGCGACTTCCTCACGTACATTGGCACCAGGGACTTGCTCCTGTTCTCATCAGGCACCTTGTCCTTGAGCCAGTTGGTAGCCACCCCCTTGTTCAGGCGTCCCGTCTTGGTCTCGTACTCCACCGTCACAGCACAGATGTGGATGGCATTGGGGTGAACCTGCCCAGATGCAAAATCAGGATGAGGGAGAGTGAACCCCAGCTGAGGAAGTCCCCCACGTTCAGCAGTGTGGAAAAGTTCAACCTAACATTAACACCAGGACAGCTGATCTTGCCATGGCAGATCAAACCTCCAAACGTATCCAGCACATGGGTCCTGTATTGTTCCTGAGCTTCCCCAGGTATGGCCGCAAAGTAAAGGACAAATCCTGACCAACTAGTACCCCATCACCTTTCTTCCAAGTCCTGAAAACAAGGTGTATGGCAGAGAAGAGCTGGACTGCGGGGAGGATGATGGTATCGGGGCACAGTCCGCTGTGACATGTGACACACCATCTCCCTCTGCAGGTCCCACAGAAGTTGGGATAGCCCCTTTCTCACACATGGGAATGGGCAGAACTACCCTTTCCCCCAAAAAAGCTTCTAGGAGAGATCCCCAATGCGTGTCCCCAGCTGAGAGCAGACCCATGACCCTGTGGAGCTGCAGACAGCAATGGTTTCTCATGAGTGCCAGTCTCCCCCCGGAAGCGAGGCCTTTCCGCGGGCCTGGCGGAGGCTCCGCAGCGGAGCAGGGCGCCGCGCGCTCACCTTGGAGGAGGAGGCGATGGAGTAGTAGCGGGCCTGCAGGCGAGGCAGGAGCTCGCACAAGTGGTCGATGGGGGGCTGCAGGGAGGGCATGTCCTGCAGGATGGCCAGGATGTTCCTCCGGGCCTCCACCACCCAGCTGAGGTAGAGAGCCTGCAGACAAGGAGGGCACACATGTGACAACGTCCCTGTGCGACTGGCAAACACTCTCTTCAGCTCTCCAAGCGCACAGCTCAATCATTTTGGATTCCTTCTGGGAATCCCATAACACCCAGGCCCATCACCCAGCTTTTTCAGGAAAGCTGCAGCTCCCACCTTCCCCTCAGCAGAAGACGATGCCATTTTGCGGAGGTGCTCCTGCTCGCTGGGGTCCGTGGCATATTGAGCCAGCTCATACAAGACGTTGGTGCGAGGCGGGTTGGTGATGTCCAGGTAGTAGGTAAGGGCAGTACGGTAGGACGTGGGGCAGGGGAAGGGATGTTTCTTATTGGATTCCTCTGGAGGAGAAAGAGAGAGAGAAAGAGAAATTCAGCAACTGCATCCCATTATCTTGGAGATTTCATGCCAACAACTACATGCAGGAGAATTTGTGAAAGACAGAGCAGGGAAATGGCTTTGGAGAGGATGCTTGAATCGGCCTGTTGGCCAAAGCCCACTCAGCCATCCCACATGGAGGAAGCATCAGCACAGGCCAGCTCCCTCTCCAGAGGGCTGCGTCTCCCAATAGCCCTTTCCTTTCTGTTTTACACAGGTTGTCTGACAGGTTATCAAAAAAGAAAAAAAACAAAACGCTCCCAGATAGGGGTCTCTGCCCAAGACAGGCATGCACGCTGCAAAGGGGAAGGGGTCCGTTCATCATCCTCCTGTTTACAAGGCTGGCAACAGACATTCAGACTAGGGCAGCGATACTGCAGCTCATCCAAAAACACAGGTGTTAAGAACAGAACTGCCTGCACATCACAGTTTTCCCACTGACATGTCTTGCTCCAAGGTTGTCAGCTCCACGCACGGCAATGCCCTGTTTTATTTTCTTCCCGGCTTCCAGAGAAAGTCACGCTGCTCAGAGACATTTTGGGAAGGTGATCCAGAAGACAGGGCCCTAGAAGACAGCATATCTTGGACCTTGGAGCGCAGGCAGAGAGAGGGAACAAGTTTCCAGGGAGAGCTCTTGGCACAGAGGCACCCAGCAAGCTCCCAGGCCAAGCAGGGAGACAGTTCTGGGTGGCTATTTTGGCCTCAGACTCTTACGCTTTCTTCAGATCTGGCCTCCAGTGCCCTTTGCCTCCTTTAGACCATTGACACTTGTGCTCACAGAGTTCTTGAGGAGGATAAATGCCAGCAATCACAGCTCAAGCCATTCGGTTTAGCAATCACAACGTACAGGAATGAGTGTGCGAAGCCAGACAGCCTGCAACACTGCACAGGGGTCTGCAGATCCCGACACTGCACTAAAACCAAGGAGTTCCTCTCCAGAAACAAGAGCTCAGCCCTCGAGCTAACAGGCCTCTGATGTCTCAGGTTGGCCATCACTCTTCCCATATGGCAGTAAGATGGGTGGCAGCCGCCATCTCCCTCCTACACTGGCAATATCATCCAAGAAAGGTTCTTTGTCCAAGAGAAAGTCAGCAATTGCATCCTGTTATCTTAGAGATTTCTTGGATGTTATCTTAGAGATATCATCCAAGAAAGGCACTGAAAAAATCTCTATCCTGGCAGCTCAGCCCAGCAGTGGGTTGAACAGCAACAAACTAGGGCCTAGTCAAGGGACAGAATAACAGTCTCTAAAAGGAAGGTCTCTGCTGAACTCGAGGTTGCTGTGCAAAGGGGAGAGCTGGCGGGCTGGTGCTCTGTAATTAGGAGCGTGTTGTTACATAATTTGCTCTTGAATAGTTGGACCAAGCAAGTTTCACAACTAACCCACTTGAGTTGGTCCTTGGCAAGCAGGCTCCGTGTCAAAGCTGCTAATGCAACACTGAATTCAGAATGGTGCTGGGAAGTTGCTTTGACAGCAAATGCCCTATGAGATCTGACCTCTTCCCTGGTAGGAAGGGCAGATGCCACAACTGAAGGAAAACTGATGATGCTCATGAGGGATCCATCCTACTCACCGTCTAAATTATTTAGGGACATGACTGTATCCAGATCCGTGTGCAGAATCTCACCAATCTGATTCACCAGCGAGGCGTCATTGGCTGGGTACACAGCCACGTGGTCCCCAGACTCATACCTGGCACGAGAGCAAGAGGAGAGGACTGAAACACCAGAGCCCTCCTCACCCACACCAAGCCCCAACTGTCCAGCTAGACAAGTGGGTCATGCAACAGACAGCTGAGATCTGAGCTGCTGCACAACTCCTGCAGAAGCAGGGACCCCAAAGAGCAGCAGCCAGAGCAGTAAAGAATTGCTGTGAAATTATGGTTTCCAAGATCCAGGTCATTCACAGGGAAACTCTGAGGTAAAGTCAGTTTTGCCAGAGACTTCAATGAGGCCAAGTGTCCAACAGGATGAGGCCAACCCCCCAGCCAACAAGTGGCAAAAATCTCTGCCCAAAACTTCTTCAGTAATTGCCTTTATCAACCAACCTAGGTTTATGGCTTTCTCACAGGCATGCAGAAGAATTTATGCCAGTAAGAGGTTTTTAAAGACCATGATTCATTACTCCCCCACACCCAGTACAGCTAGGCCAAGCAAATACAAACATAATCCACCACTGATTTTCCCCATTCTCATAATACCTCTGCTCCCCTTGTTTTCAGACAGCTCCTAGAGAATTTCTGCTGCTGGGACTGCTCAAATATGTCAGATAGGCCCATCAGGCCCTGGAGAGGCCCAGGGCAGCTAGCTGGTATTTCGATAGACCTCACAAGAACTGAGAGAAAGCCCTGATATGCAGTACAGAAGTACTGCAGTAGCAGTGAACTATGAGAACTAGGTCCCCTTAGAAGTGTTCAGCGAGGCCAGTGGCACATCCCCGCTCTTGGTTTCTTGTGCATCCTGCCAGCTCTGGAAAAAAAAGGCCCAGTCTTCTTTAGGAAAATACCTGATTTTGGAATTGGAGATATCCAGCTCCAGGTGCATGAGGTGTCGCTCTCCGCCCTCGTTCAGCTTGCGGTTCACCGTAACTGCGGCCAGGAAAGGATTCTTGGCATCGAATGGGCTGGAAAGACAAGGACCCTTGGGATTACTCTTTGCAGGCCCACAGAGAGCTGCTTTTATCCCCCTGTCACCAGGGCAGGCCCATACAATTTGGGCACAGCACCCTCATGATCATGTTTCAAAGTCCAGCAAAGCAGAATCTGAATCCTGAGCCTCCTGTGACCCACGCTAGCAGAAAAACAAGTATTTTGCTTCTAAGCACAGCCCAGCAGCTGACAGCTTCTGCCCCATCAAGAACAAGAGATGCAATAGTCAGCCAGAGGGACTACCACATCTCAAAAACAATATTTTAGGGTGCAGCTTATTTATGCAATCAGTACCCCCACTGCCATGCCACAAGCAATCATCACATTAGTCACCCCTGGAGAAAATCTGTGACTGACCTTAAGAAACAGACCCTACAACCTAAAATCTTACCAGACAAACAGGGAGAGAGAATGAGGCCACTGAGGCCCTGAAAGGGAGAAGTAATCATTTCTCCTCCCACCAATGCTAATGTGAAGGGATTAAAATAAGTCTGCAAAACAATGCATGTGAACACAGCTGCCTTCTCAACACTAATGATTCATTAATTAGGGATCCTCTGAGAGATCTGAACCCCTTCCTTGGGCAGGTATCTGCTGGATGTCTGTCTGCTTTATACAAACAGTGCTGGCTGCACAACACGTGTCATTAGAAGCATCAAGGTCTCCACTGCCCAAGGACTGGCCCAGGCAGGCGCTGCCCGGGGCCGTGCGGTACTCACGGCTTCTGGTTCTCGTAGCTCTTGAGCCGGCCCATCTCGCCGGTGTAGACCTTGCTCATGTTCACGTCTGTGTGCACCACCAGCTCGTACTGGCGGATGCTGCAAGAGTTAGGGGGAGAAGAGAGAAAAACATCAAATCAGAAACCACAAACAGGGACCATCACTTGTTCTGCAGAATTTGCTACCGTTCAAAGACAAAAACACCCCCTTCACGCCCCCGTTGGGATACTAGGGTACTCCTAGGTACCAGGGAACAGGCTAAATTAGAGAGTCCAGAGATGACAAAGGCCAAACCATGAGGAACCACCTGCTTTGCTGGGAGCACTGCTACCCAGCAGAATACAGGAACTAAACTCAACACACTGCCCATTCAGAACGTGAATCCAGGGCTGTATTTAAGCTCACACCAGGACAAGCTTAGTCCCAACAGCCCTGCTCATTGATCTCCTCCATGTGTGCCCTCTCAAGCCTGGAAAGGGAAGCAACACACAGGAAAGGGAACAGCAATTCAGGGCTGATGGACAGTTGCCAGTCAAGGGTGGCTGATTTGATCTCTGCCCCCAGGAGAACCCACTCCCACACTGACCTGGACTCTTCTCCTGTGGCCTCCACCCCGAAGTGCTCACACACTGCTGGCCAGAACTGCTCTCGCCAGGTGATGAAGTCTTCTTCCAGGCTATTCAGGACAAAAGAGAGATTCAACAACCTTGCCCAGGGAGAAGAAAAGGGGTATTCCCAATGGAACAAGATCCCTAGGGACTTCCTCCTTTAATATGGTATTTGCCCTTGCATGCAGGTAGTTTTG